TGATGATTATGATTTGAGTTGCTACTGACAGGGCGGTAGAAGGGCGGCGCCCACAGTAGAGGTCACACCACATGAGTTAAGTGAGCTCACCTCACACAATTGTGTGTTTTTTTTGCTCGTTCAACCAGTTTAGAGTTTGACACCACAGGAACACACCTTTGCCTCAGGCTCTGACCGTCTCCACATCCAGTCAACAAACTTGTCATTTCTCTCTCAATCTGCTTTGTTTTGAAGGTCGTGGAGGAGTGGTGACTGTTTTGATGTTAGATTACAGACTTGGTAACATCTTTTATTGATAGCAAGTAGTGGGAGGGGAGCTATTATGTAATTGCTAATGTTGATAGTCAGTGAGGTTTGTGTTTCTACTGCATGTCCGGGAGACATGCATCAATTATGAGATGTGTAATTCAGGGGTCCGGATCGCTGTCGTGCCTCCGGCTCGAACCCATGTGACACGCGCTTGTGACTCACAGCATTGACATTAAAACATCCTTGCTGTATCATCCTAATGCTGTTTCTCTCTCTCCGCTCTGTTTACAAAAATAGCAACCGCCATAAAGGGCCAGCAGCTCTGCACACACACATGCTGAAACTGAATGAAGCAAAACAAACACACTCAGCTGTTCGGCACACTGGGCAGCGAGAGGCTGAGGGAGGTTTCGTGTCACTCCCTTCCAAACATCGCCCCACTTCTATCCCGGTTATGTAATTTCAAGGGTAATAATATGGGACAGAGTGTCCTTGCTGTTCTGGACTTATGAACAAACAGATTGGAGGGGTAATGGAGAGAGAAAAAGAGAAAGTATTATCTATATCTATCTATCGCTCTCTCACACTCAAAGTCTTCTACTGTTCTGGACAGATCAAATTAAATCTGTCTGTCTATGTAGATATATAAAAGGGAGTGAAGAGTAGAATAAAGAAAAACATGAGTGTGAATATGTGGGAAAGAAGAGGGGAAGAGAGGTGGGTGTATGTAAGGGGCCTGCAAAGAGGAAAAAAGAGCTGTGTGTGTGTTTGGATGAGGAATGGCCGGTAGTGTTCGCAGGAGGTGCATGATTACACACAGACTTGATGGTAGAAGACACAGACAGGACAGCCATGGGAACAAACGCTAAAGCTCTGTTACAAAACCTAGTGAGCTCACTATCTAGATTGCGCGCTTTTGATTCTAAGGCTGTTTCAATTGACAGACATTATGCTGCCTTTTCAGGTACTTTGTTTTGGCTTATTTTATTATATGCATGCATCTATCTATCTATCTGTCTGTCTGTCTGTCTTAGAATCCATCTCTCTCTCACACACACACACACATATGCGCACACTCTCACAGTCTGCTACTGTTCTGGACAGATCAAATTAAATCTGACACCCAAGGATGTTTTTCATACATACAGTAGCACCACCCCTCCTCCATGCCACACAAAGACACAAACAAAAACATGCGTTTCCAACACCCTCACCCTTCTCACGCACGAGTGTGTGGATGCATCCATAAACAAACAAATGAATACACACTTAGGCCAGATTTGCAGCTGATGTCAAACAAGGCCAGCAGACCCTCCCCCCAAAAAACAGTCCTCACCACAGATTCACTGAAGTCATGCTGGGACAGCATCTGCCATCACCAATACCTCCACCCCCCGTTCCTTCAAAATCTCCCCTTCTGCTCCGACATCCCCCTCCACCACCTCTTGTTTCTGCTCCACACACATGCACACACATAAGGTATCTGGCCTTTTTATTGCCCAATATGTCCCCTATATAAACTGTCAGTCCATTTCGAAACAGACTTATTAGCCACTGTGCCGCTGCATAACCTTACAGTACATACTTTGTGGCTACCATTGTACGTGACGTGTCAGATAGTAATACCATGGTACTTTTTTATATACCGTGATATTTACTCAAAAAAGCACGGTGGTGATAACATGGTAAACTAATGGTGTCAGATGATTGATTTATAACATTGTACTAGAATGCTTCAAATATTAATTGACTGGTATTTGCAGTACACATTAATGACTAATAAAGTATTATGATAAAAATTGTCATAGGAACTACTGTTGTGCTTGGTTGAATTGGTTGAATTGGTATTGGTTGAAGTTCCATGTAAATACCATGTTAAATGGCACATGTCCAAAATACCATGAATATGGTAAAATACATTTAAGTACCATGTATATTTCAGAGTACCATATTATTACCGTCTGATACTATCGCAGTATGTGGTACCATGCCTAAAACTCCATGTGGTAATACCATGGTATCTTTCTAAATATTATGGTAACACTATAGAGTTTGATAATGTCCTATGGTTTTCGGACACTGTCATAATAGCAATACCATAGTATTCGTTTTTTGTTATTTTGATATACACAAAATAACAAAATATGCATATAATATATTTTGGTATATCAAAATAACAAAAAACGTGTTAGTACCATGGTACTTTTTTGTGAGTCATTTAAAAGATACTATAACATTGTTGTGGTGTATATACTTCAAAGAATACCTTGGTATTACCATAGTACCATCCCCAAAACATGGCAATAGCATGGTCATTTTTAAGTGCATGTTATCACTCATCAAAGGAAAGGCGATCACTCAATGCCCCTTCTTTTCCGCTGCACTCAGCAACTGTTCTTTTTTCCTGGCCCGGCACATATCTCTATTTTTAAAGCGACACCTTCCTATCAGCCCAAATGGGTGGCCCAGGATTTCCTAATTGTAATAAACTTTCAGCCTGAGCTCTGCTGGAAGGTTCTGCTCTCTGGCTCAGTTTGGGTCTTGCGTGTAAAATTTGCTAGTCTCCTTAGTCATCTGTTGACTTGGCATGTAGCAGGAAATCGCAGCGAGCAGAAACGCGTAGCCGTAATCTGCTGGCCTGCAGGTCACTAGAGCAGGAGGCTAATGGACGGGATTGTGTGACCCGCTGGACTGCCAAGCACTGTGGGAAACACTTTGAGGGGTTAAAGTCACTGTTGGCTTTAACCTGTACGTCATACATCAGTGCTGTAGTGTCTTAGACACATATGTTCACTTTTGTTCAAGCGTAAATGCAATGGACACATGAGACACACACGAGAAATGACAATATATCCTCAACGGTTCTTGGATAGTTTGGTTTAGGTAGTTAAAAGGGCGGCGCTTGCTCTGAGCAGGTGTCGAATGAGATAAGAACATATTAGTCTATGACGGGAGATAGAGACAACATGTTGTACCCTCTCTTATGTACATTTTTATAAGATAATTTGACCCCAAAATAAAAATTCTGGCTTTACATGTTTGTTCTTCACAGCGAGAGATGTTCTTCTTCTGCTCTTCTCTGTACAATGAAAGTTAATGGGGGCAGGTACTGTATAGCTCCAGAAATTACAAAAAGCATGATAAATGTACTGTGAAAGTGATCGACATGATTCATATTCAAGCTAAACATTAACTTTGTGGGAGGAACAGACCACAGTTTTAACTGTTTTCTCTTGAAAATACAGTGGCCATCTCTATTGACTTTCATTGTATGGAAAAGAGCAGCGTGAACATTCTCCCAAACATCTGTTTTTGTTTTCCACAGATCAAAGAAAATCATATTGGTCTGGATCAACATATGGGTGAGTAAAAGATGACCAAATCCTTATTTTTGGGTATACTACCCATTTAAAGGGTTCCTTAGTGGTTCTTTGCATGACCTTAGGTTCACCTGAGACCATCCTCAGTATTTTTTGTCATGTAGGGTTCTTTATAGGGGTGAGCAATTAACCAGTAGAAATTTTGGACTATCGTCTCTATCACGGTTATATACTCACATGAAGTTGCTGTGCTGCATGGTCATGAAAACCGTTTTTAAGCATAAGCATTGTGGTTTAAAACCAGTTGATTTGAAGCCATTGAAATGCAATCAGAAGCGAAAGAGAACTCATTTCGCTGTATGTGCGCACTGTCTGAGAGACTGTTTCTGAGCGCTGTCAGAGAGGCGTGTGCACATGAAGACAGTGCTCATAGAGTGTGGAAGTATTAAACGGAGGTATTTTTGCCACTTTATAGGCTTTGAATGGTTAAAACACACTTGTATGTGTCAAAATGTTCATATTTGCAAGTATCCTCATAAACACAGTAATTTAGGTCTTAAGTGAAAGCAAACAGCTGAGAGAAAAAAAACACAGCTGTAACAGTATATTGGATCCGGGAAGCTCTTAAAGTGACTGCAGTCTAATATTCCTACAGTCTGTCAGAAATTTTGATATCATAAAGACCTTATTTAAAGCAAGAATAACTATATCATGATATATGTCATTACTGTGAAATAAAAAATCTCATATTGTGATATAAGATTTTGGTCATAGCGCCCACCCCTAGTTCTTGGGATTAATTATATGGTTCTTTGGAGAGCAATTGTTCTTGATGTTACATTACAGGCTCTTCGGATCATTGTTTTGGTTTTGAGTTCCTTAAAAGCACCAGAAACATATATTTTAAGCAGTGGAAAACTTTTCTTCCATGGCTTTTGTCTGTAAAACCCTTTTGCTACTAATCAAACCTTTTTTCACAAAAAGATATCATTGAATCATGGTTCTCCTGTGTTTGCCAAGTCAGAAGCAAAAAATCTCTGCTCCTGAATGTTTGGAGTTTTCTCAGCAGCAGGCCAGAGAGAGAAAAAGGTGTCCTTTATATTCTCACTGTTTCCATACGGCATATGGTCTTATAATAGGTGAAGCCGCTCGCTGCCTGATCGGAGATCACTTTAATGTATTATTGCTAAGCACTACATCACAATGTTTTCTTTGTTTTGACAAAGAGTACTGATAGTTTAAAGAACTTATCACAAAAAGTGTTGACCAAATTTCCACCAACAACCAAAGTTTTGTAGTTAGGGACATGATTAGCACAGTTGTTATTCATAAAATTCAGATAGGTATGTCTTCATTTAGTAAATGCATGAGTGGAATGAATTACTGTAAAACTATGCATAGTGTTCTAGCGAGCGCCATTGTGTTTATTGTTGTGGCAGCTGCTGTTGGTTACTGAGCCACTTTGACTCTCCAGCATGAAGCTTGTTTTGTCTCCCTAGTAACATTTGCCACACAAAAACACTTACAGTTACGTCAAAACCCCGAAAACCAGTGGTTCCGACCTTGATTTTTGGACTCATTTAGATATAGAGGATTCTGTGACGCCATTACAGCCTGAAGGCAAAGTTCCCAGCAATAAATATTTACGATAATTATGACATTTAACGACGAATGGATCTGTAGACGTAAGATTTAATAACTGACAAACTAGAATGATCACCTCGGCTTCGTATCACATTTGGATGTTTCATTTTTAGTGGACTTTTGTGTGAGTGAGTCACTATGAGCAAATAAAAAGTCCTCTGAAGGAACTTTCCCCCAGCCTCTAAACTGAACTTTGACCATTTCAAGGAACTAACAGAGTGAGAAAACTACGGAGGTATTTTTGGCCATGCAAAATTAAATATACTTCCTCTTTTTTAACACAAATTCAGTGGTCAGGAATTATAAAGAGCTTTTAAGGCATTTAAACATTTTATTGGTACAAACCTTCTGTAGTACCAGTTAACCAACTTCCAACTTCCAACTATGGAATGTCCTAAATGGTCAAAAAATGTGAATGCAACTGTATATCTCACAAATGTGACTGTGTTTCTCACAGCTGTGAAAATATCTTGGAACTGTGACTTCATATCTCATAATATGACGTTATTTCTTATGTACTTTATCTAAAGTATCTTTATATTTTTCACTCTCAGGCTTGCATAGTTTAAAACTTGCACCTTAGCAACCACATAACAACAACCTAGAAACTGCACTTTAGCGACTCCATAGCAACAGCCTAGCAACATGCTACAACCATTCAGAACACATAAGTAACTGCATAGCAACATCCTGGAAACAACTCAGAACACCCTTGCAACGGCTTAGCAACAAGTTAGAATCATTGAGAACAGCCTAACAATGACATAGCAACACCCTGGCAACTGCACTTTAGCAAATACAATGTGACATGGTAAAACTACACAGAGTGCCTTAGCAACTGCATAGCAGCACCCTGGCAACCACCAACATGTTCGAATGTTAGAATTATTCAGAACACCCTAGCAATGACATAGCAACTGCATAGCAACATGTCAAAAACACTCAGGACACCTTAACAACGGCATAGCAATGTTTCGGCAACCAACTAGAACACCCTAGCAAATGCTTAGCAACACGTTTTAATGTTGGAATCATTAAAAACATCCTAGCAACAACATAGCAACACCCTAATAACGGCATCTTAGCAACTCCATAGCAACAGCCTAGTAACATACTACTATCACTCAGACCACATTAGTAACTGCATAGCAACATCCTGGCAACAACCCAGAACACCCTTGCAACTGCTTAGCAACAGATTAGAATCATTGAGAACATCCTAACAATGACATAGCAACACCCTGGCAACTGCAAAGCAACATGCTAAAACCACACAGAATACCTTAGCAACTGCATAGCAGTGCCTTGGCAACCACCCAGAATAATGAAAGCAAGTTGTACTTGGGCAACAAAGAAGTTGTTTTTATAAAGTGAAAAATCTAGTTACAAGAACAGTGATCACTAGTGTGTGTGTGCGTATAAAGTGCCTGACTAATACTAAATTTCTCACTCTTTTCAGATCTATCTACGCCATGGCTCCTGTTGGAACACATGACCCTCCTGTAGCAACAAAATATGAGAAAGGTACACCAGCCTTTTTTCTCTTAGCAACCATCTGTCTGCTTTAATTGCCCCAAGCTTCATTTGCTCTCAACATGCCCCGGCTTGTAACGTTTGAGGAGATACCTAAACATTCTCACACACAAGGCCTGTTGTCATTGCAGAAGCCTCACAGGCTGTTTGCTATCAGATGAGTGGAGTCTATAAAGCTTTCGGAACTGTAATTAAACACGACCCCACGCCCAACAGGAAACATACATCAACGTGACGTATTGCGTGTGTAGTACGTCTCTGGTCTTCTGGCCTGGTCCAACAAGGTGGACCCTCCCCCCAACACAATGACACCCCTTTCCTTCACCATCCCAGGCTGCTCCTGTTTCAGGAAGCCCGGCCCTGTCACTGATCCCATGCTGGCATTTTTCCCAGGATACCCCTCCCCCGATCCCATTTTCCTTCCAATCCTCAGTACCCTCCCCCACCTAAACCCTTTTCCCCTCCTGTCCTCTGCCAGTTTCCCAAGATAAACAAAGACTTCAGCTTGTCTGGGCTCCGGCAGGGGTCGAACAGAATGAATAGCGGGGCCACAGCAAGGGCTTTTTCTCTCTCCCCTCCTTGAAAAGATCACTGCCGAATTGTCTTTGTGATTGTGCTCTTGTGGGGTGGGGGTGGGGGGGGCGTTGAGTCATTGTAGAGCAGTTTCAAAGTTCTAACTGCTCTGCGGTTACGACTTTTAGTTCCCTGTTTGGTTTTATTGCACACTAGAACTGGAGTTTCCCTGTTTATTTTTGCACTCTCACATAAACCACCTAATCTGAGATAATCCGTATTACGTGATGCTGTATTTTGGCATCACTCGCCAATCTCATAAAGAAAATACTATATGCACACATTTTGTATTTCGCTACACTCTTAAAAAAAAAGGTTCTTTGTTGGAATCTATGGGTCTGTGAAGAACTATTACATTTATGGAACCTTCCATGTAGAAACGTTACATTCATGGAACCTTTCATCGCACAAAAGGTTCTTTATAGTGGAAAAAGTTTCTTTAGATTAGATGTTCTTCGTGGTTCAACTGTTCAGTGAAAGGCTCCAAAATGGTTCTATTGAAAAATGAAAAATCTCTCTTTTGGACTTTTTTGCCTGCAAAAATGTGACTTTTAGTCCGACTTTGCAAAAACTAGATTGGTGTGATTTCAACCAATCCAAAATAAAGAAAATAGGTTACTATATGCACAAATGCAAAATTATATGTTGCATAGCATACAACATTGAAGAACCATTACATTCATGGAACCTTGCATTGCACAAAAGGTTCTTTATAGTGGAAAGGTTCTTTAGATTAGATGTTCTTCGTGGTTCTTTCAAGAACTGTTCCGGGAAAGGTTCTGAAATGGTTCTCCTGTGAAATCTCGCTTTGGTAACTTCATTTTAAGAGTGTACAGAAAGCACATCTGATCTTTTGGCTAATGGCAGATGGTTTGCTAGTGTTTTGAAGGCTTCTGATTAGGTTCTGTAATTCCTACATGCACAAAGCTGATTTGAATGGACAATGACTCATTTAAGCCATCACGTGATTATGGGAGAGTTCACGTATTGGTTTGTGAGATTATTCTCTGACTCGTCACCCATCCCATCCCCCTTTTGGCACTTTTGGTAGAATACTGTATGCATACCTTCAAAAATGGGTGGATGAGTAACTTGGAGCATTGTGGTGACTGATGAGATCAGTGACAAATTGCTTTGTGGGTCACTCCGGTTGATGTGTCAATGCGGAGATATCCATCTGGCTGAATGAGTGGTGGAAAGATTTCCTGACTTTCTGTTTGCTTTGAACAAAAGAACTGCTTGAGTAGATCTGGTCTCTACTTGTATCCAGACTGGTGTTTTGTTCAGGCATCTTTCCGCCTTGCTCTTTGGGACTGACCATGTTAAACAGGGACACGGCATGGCTCTTAGCACACAATAAATCACCTAAACACCTAAAACAGTCCTTGACATCTTATCTTTATTGCTTGAGAGTCTCTTTTTGTTGTTCAGTTTATCCTAAAAGCTTTGCAAAGCAAGCCAAGTTGGAGATTTGACACTAAGCATTGAACTTTGGTTTGATATTATTTTTCTAAATGGTCATACTGTTCACTTTTGCCTGGCCTATGATAAAATAGACAAAAAAATCTCCTGTAGATTTATATTTAAGTGGTGGTATGATATCAGAAAGTGAGTTTAAGTGCTCCATTCTAGACGAGCTACAGAGGTTTATGAGTAGTCAAGTTGTCTAAGTAAACGTGACACTATGCGCAATCGAATATTTGCCTAACAAATAGGTGCAGTCACATTTACTGTGAATTTTCACGGGCAAAATCCAGTCATTTCAATAGGAATCCACGCAATCAGGAATTTCTACTAAAGATTTCCGCAAACAGATTTCGCATCGGGTTCAAGTTGGTCACACAGTTTCGCTGCATGGTTTGAAAGTAACTTCTGTGTGAATAGTGCTTCATTCATCAGTGCACTTGAAAATGGACAATTGAACATTTTGACCATTAGTCCACTACTTTAGTGACTTAAGACAAATTATTGTTTTAGTCCAACTAAAATAGCTACTGCACACACACATGTATATATATTCATTCTTTTTTTTTTTTCAGAAAATGTAAAAAAAAAATAAAAAAACAAGCAAAAAATCTTGTTGTTGCATTGTCATTTTGCATGATTCTGAGCTGACATGCCATTACCTGATAATTTAACAAAACTGCAATCAGACCAACATTCCCGTTAAATTTCTCGGCTTTTGACTCAACATTCCAGACCCACATGCTCTCCTACTGCACATCAGCAGGAAACGTTTTCACAACTTTACTCTTTTCCTCCCGCCCCCCACCCCCTTTCCTTCCAGGACAGAGGAATGCAGGAGCGAGAGGCCAGTCAGGAGAGGACAGCTGCATGTGTTTAAGCATGGTTTGTGAAACAGCCAGTGATGTTGCATCACATGCGACAAACATTTTCAGATCTATATATTGATTTTTAGACATTTTTAGATCTCTGTTTATTTTGGATCAATGTCAGTGATAACATGAGCTATTACGTTATTAAAGGAACTACAGAAATGTGAGAAAAAGTCCACCGCAGCCAAGTCAGGCCACTCGTCATCTGCTCCAGCTCTGTTACTGTTCTATGCTGGTGTGGTCAGCTGACTCGACTACAGCCAGGATTTGAATGACCCACATTTCTCAAACGAGCAGGGCGAGAAAGCAGCTTTACTCATGCCTTCTGGTCTTTCTCGAGGGAATGTATCTATCAATAGCTACTCATGTCTGTGTGAAAGAATGCAGCCGCACCGGGCATCAAGCTGGTTCTGCTGGAGTTAACGTCGTAAATGTTTTTCTTAAATGTTACTCGCACTAAAAAGTTGGAACATATTGTTGGAAATCCTTAAGATATTTATTTATCTAGATATCTAGCTACCTGATATCTACCTGATCTGACCCTTAAAACTCACTTTCCCCCTCATACAATTAGTGACTTTAGTTATTTGTGACTGTTGAAGGGTTTTAAAATCATTTTTATAGAGATTGCAGTTCAGTTTTAAAATATTATATACAGTATATTATAATTTACAGGATGTTATATTTATATGTTAAATTACAAGTTACATTTAACGTTTATTGTATATTTTATACATTTTGTATAAAATACACTATGCCATTCAAAAGTTGGGTCAGTATGTTTTTCTTTTTCTTTTTTGAAAGAAATTAATGCATTTGTTCTGCAAAGATGTTAAATTGATCAAAACTGATAACAAAGACTTACACTGACTAACACTTACACTTAGTTTTTTTTATTCCGAAAAATTATAACAGGTTCCTAATAAAACTATTGAGCAACACATCTGTTTACAGCATTGATAATAAATCAGCATATTAGTATGATTTCTGAAGGATCATGTGACACTGAAGACTGGAGTAATGATGCTGAAAATTCAGCTTTGCATCATAGGAATAAATTATATTTTAAAGTATATTAAAAGTATAGAAAAGTGTTACTTTAAATTGTAATAATATTTCCAAAATGTTAATGTTTTTACTGTATTTTTAATCAAATAAATGCAGCTTTGGTGAGTAGAAGAGACTTCTTTCAAAAACAATTCAAATCTTTCTGATCACATACTTTTGAACGGTAGTGTATATTTCATATAATTAAATATTATAAAGTCATAATAACCATAACTCTAACTATTGTACACTCACAAAAAATTATCACTAAATATGACTTGGAAATCACAATTTGTTGATATTTGAGGTTTTCCTTGACCATGGGAACCCACGTCTTTATCATTTTTATGATTTCTTATCTTTTGACCTGGATGCGTATTACAAGACAGGCTCATACACTTACCTCAATGACTGCATTCTTGCCTAGTAAATGAGATACATTTCTCACAATTACATTTTTTATCTTTTACTCATTGTAAATTATGAATCATATCGCCTCTATTAATAATGTAAGACTGCTCAAGTGATGTTTCTACATTGAAAAAAAGGTTGAGAAGTCAATGATTCTATTATGACTGTTCTCTCTTGTAGGAAAAGGCATGTCATGTTGAATAGCCTGGGACCAAAGACAGGCCCTGGGAGAAGAGACAGCAGTCTGCGCTGAAACTGAACCCTGCATACCACACATGCTTCAGGGGTACAATAGCTCTCTTTACAGCATGCAGTAAAAATTGCCTGGAAGTGATGCAGTGGAACAGCAGCTGAACATTCTTGTTCTTCTCAAACTTGTTGGATCACTTTGGTCCAAATACTTTTGTTTGGGGAAGCTTCATTTTAAATATTTAAATACTAACCCTAAATTGTTTTTCATTGAATCTTCTATTCAAAATGAAGTGTGTAACATATGGTTCTCACACTTGCTGACCAAAGAACTTCCAAGTTTCTTTAATTTTCATTTGCAATTACTGAATAATTCTATGTAATTAAAAATATATATATATATAGAATTCAGAAATGTAAAATATGAATTCAGTTAAATTGGGACACTTCTGAATCAACCCTGTATATGTAGGCTATGTGTATATACCATATACATATCACAAACTGCTATTTTTGACAATGAAGTAGTGTTATATATTTATAGAAGTATTAGCATTTTCTAGTAATCTGCTATTTAAAATGATTTTAAAGTTCTATCACCTTGGGAACCGTATTGGGCTGTTATTTTTTAATATTCAAAAAAAAAAGCTGACATTTGAAAAAAGGTGTATGATGAGGTGTCATTCTTAGTCATGGGAGTCAGGTTCTCACTCCTGAACAGAAAGCACAGAAACAGTGTCATTTCACATTTTTTAATACGTGAGGCACCACGTAAATTGTCATGATACCAAAATACATAGATTCAGAATGCGACAAACAATATATACACACTCGAATATTACAGCATGTACAGGTCTTTTTAAAACAAAGACGTTAAACCAGTGGCCTACACCTCGTACAGTCAAGTTTGGTGTGATCGACCCTGAATCGGTTCAGTGACAATGTAACATTGACCTTCATGACACATTTGCATATGTTGTAATACCACTCCTCACATGGCTTTATATTGTCTGAGAGTTCAACACTTCAAGGACTGTAGTAGATCCCACGTAGTAGCACTAGCATTCAGATAGCTCCTTCACTAGAAAGGCATGCCCGGACGTCTTACAGGCCAAACTGAGCTTGTACTTTGGTAGTACCACTCATGCTTGCTGGGAAGTCCCACACTACGATGTTGGGCCTGACCACGTGTTACCAATGCGCTCAGATCAACCCGGATAAGAAGTAACGTTACAGTACAGTTAGAAAGCTACTATCGCTGTACTCCAAGGGTTTAGGTTCTTCAACATTTGGTCGCAGCAGATTTGTCCACTATCCTCTGCTTCAGACTCAGGTTTAGCGCCGTCTTTGCTGAGAAGTCCTGAGAAACTGGAACCAAATATCGTAATGAGGTTGGACACGTTACTTGTGTCCATCTCCTCGGCTTCCTCGCCCTCTTTAGCGTTTGTGGAAGCAACTTTGGTCTTTTTTTGAGGCGAATCGCCACTTTCCGTCTCCTCCGCGCTTCTTTTCCTGTTTGAACAAACGTGCGTTTTGGGTGGCTGATGTGATTCCCCGTTCGCTTCGGGCGGAGAGTCTGAGGGACTCTCCTTGGCTTCGTTAATGGTTTCCTGCAGTGTTTCAGATGAAACCTTTGCCACAGAGTCCAGCGAAGAGTCTTGGTTTTGCTTTTGTTGTAAAGTGGAAGTACAATCCGCCTGGTCTGATTTCACCTCATCGTCGTTTTCGCGATATTCCCGCTCGTTCTGTCGAGGTTCCTCTGAGCTCTCTACTCGGTCACATTCCGTTGTAGAGGGAGGGAATTTCTCCCGCTCGGTGTCCGTAATGTCCCATTCGCTCTGAGCAGCGTTCAGACACGCGCCGCTGTAGTAGTCGCTCAGATAGACCTGGCGCGCGCTGCGAAGGACCAGCGAAACCAGGAGGTTTTTATGCAGTTTGATGCCGCCTCGTTGAACGCGCGAGTTGTAGATTTTCCCTAAGGAAATACTCATAATCCGATGGGCTTCCACTTTGTATTCCATGGCTGGAATGGATATGGTAAGGTTCACAGAGGTACAAAGTTCCCCGGGCGTTCCGCGTTTGATTTCCTCTCAGGAGTCTCCTCAAACGGCTACTGCGAATTGGCCCCCGGCTCGGAAACGCGTTAATAAATAACGTCCAAGTAGTCTTTTCCTCCCGTAGATCAAATCGTCCCGTATTTTGTTGACACAATCCTCATTCTCATTCACAAAATACAATATTTGTATTATTGGGTGAGTGTAGGCGTTTTGAATACCTCGCACATTCTCTTCAGCACCCAACAATGGTCTAGGGAGGAATGAGACTGATTCTATTTTTAACTCGCTTTTATACTTCAGCGTCAGCGGCTACACTAGCCAATCGCGTCTCGAGTTGCGTTCCGCCAGCGTTGTGAATCACACCCCGCCAAATAGGCGATGACCAATGGGAGAGCGCCGTGGCGATGAGTCATATTTAAATACTAACGTGGGAGAACTGTTTAAAGGGATAGAATTGTTTTCACGCTAAAATAGCCAGATATTTGTACAACTCATTGTGTTTGTTCAGCTGTTTTGATTTATAAAACTAAGACGAACTATATTGAAAACACGACATAATTTTTGTAACGAATAACAAGCCAAAATCGACATATACAAGACACTAACTCGTGTTTTTACAGATTATGTAGCATATTTAGGGTAGGCTCCTCGTTTCATATATTTAGTCATGAAATAGATTTTAAATATCCACATTACTGTATTATTGTTTTTATTTTGTACACGGTTTCCGCATAGCAGCTCATCTCGTTCTATGTGCAGAAAAAGGTGCACTTCCCCTTTAATTCTTTTCAACGGACTTCCTCGACTGATGTAATGGTTAGTCTGCTACAGTCGTGTCACATGACTCTATTGTGCAAATCCACTGCGGTGTCTGGGCAAATGTGAATGGAGCTGTTAGTGGGGGGAAGGGCAATGTTTTGTTTGAAGAAACAGTTAGCCGCTACTCATGAACGACAATGAATAGTGTGGGAGATTTGTATGGAAGCATATAGGTAGCGAAATTCAATTTAATATGCAAAATGGCAATGCAATATTAAAAAAAAGTCATTTTTTGAGTTAGCAATCCGTGTGCGCTGGCTTGTGAGTTCGCCTGCATTAAGATGTGGGTCATAAACAAACCTGACAGGAAGAGCGCGCTGGGACGCAAGACACTTTCAGAGATTGTTTATCTAAATATAAACGATCAGTCAGTCAGTCATCATGGCTACCTGAGAAATCCTGTGCTGCCACTGCGTCGAGCCGTGTTTCAGATGAAGAAGAATGTATTATTGATAGACAAGAACAAATGGAATAAAGCCATAATACTGTTATTTAAATCAGAATCCAGCTGTAGTTAGTAAAGGGATACAACACAAGGTCCATATAAAATAATGCAGGCTATCCTTATCTACTCCCAGCTTTTCAATTGCAGGTCTGCTTGTTGATGGGAAACTGGCAACTGATGCTATAAATAAAACCAGAGTTGATTAATAATTTATGCAGCTTTACTTACTAAGCTGAAGTGTTTCCAGCTGGTTTTACATCATAGACAGTGACCGCTTGCCAGTGGATAGCACTGGTGTAGACAGTCAGCTAATGAGAAGGCTGTGTTGAATAATGCATGAAGCACTGTTTTAGAAGGAAGACGAGGCGCAAAGCTACGCTTATTAAGAGAAAACAGTGGCAGACTCATAGTTGTGACCTTTTTCTATTATTTTAGATTATTTCAAATGTTATTGTTGTTGTTATTAATCCATTAAAAAAATTTTGGGAATGGTTTAATTCATGTAATGTATTAAGGTCAATTCTAGAGTTCAATTAAAAAGAAGAAGAAAAAGTACACTGGTGGCACCATAGTGCAATAAGTATCAGCTGGTAATACCTCATATATATACTATTGTATGGACAAATAATAGAGCTTTTTTAGACATGTACCACGATACTATCATGATACAAAGTTTTATGAATTTCAAAATGGTATCACCATCAGATATCATCACAATAGCATGGTATTATCACAGTACTTTTTAGTGTATAAGACAAGATAAGTAAAACAAAACATAATAATGATGATGATAATGGTCTTGATAATAATAATAATTATTATTAAATTATGAATAATTTTTACATTACATTTTAATGTAATAAATAATAATAATTATTATTATTGTTATATAGCAGTGTACACTATATCAGTATCAAATAATAATTTAAAGTAATATTGCCTTAGATGCTATAGAGTTGTTTAAATGCATGTCACTACATATTTATTATTACTCATAACAATAATAATATAATGTTCCCTAATAGTGTATTATATACTATAGAATTATTCAATTATAACAGAATAAAGTAATATTGACTGGGATGATATAGTGGTGTTGAAATTGTAACTACATTTCTACATTTATATATCAGAATCTGAATTAAACAAGCTAATAAATAACTGTGTGTGTATGTTTATAATTGCAATCTTGCTTTTATACACATTTGAACATATCTGTGGCAATATTGCTTGGTTCTTTTACTGCAACAAACCAAAACAACCCACGCAGAGCACGCCGGTGTTTGTTGACCAGGAAGCGTGTATGCGTTCGCGTGTGTGTGTGTGAGAGTCTTTACAACTTTTACTTGCACTTATAAGGCAAGATATTTCTTTAAGTTTTCCTCTTTCATGGATGGATCGTTTCATCTTGTAAATGTGTTTAAATTCTTCATATTGTTCAATATTTTAATCTTTGGTACGCAGGCCCCTAGTCAGGAGCAGGTTTTCTTCGGTAAACCAAGTTTCTTTCGGTCTCCTCCCCCTTTTTAAAGCACAAGCGATTTTAAAGGGGTCATATGATGTTGCTAAAAAGAACATTATTTTGTGTATTTGGTGTAATGAAATGTGTTTATGCGGTTTAAGGTAAAAAAAAAAGCCACATTATTTTCCACATACTGTACATTATTGTTTCTCTTCTATGCCCCGCCTTTCTGAAACGCGTCGATTTTTACAAAGCTCATCGGTCTGAAAAGTGAGGTGTGCTCTGATTGGTCAGCTATCCAGTGCGTTGTGATTGGCCGAATACCTCAAGCGTGTGACGGAAATGTTACGCCCCTTAATATATCGGCCAGAGCGTTGTGATTGGCCGAATACCTCAAGCGTGTGACGGAAATGTTACGCCCCTTAATATATCGGCCAGAGCGAAGAGACAAAAACATTAAAACCTATTATAAACGAGGCATTTGTTGCATCCAGTGGGGACATAATTAAGGATTATCATGATTTATACTGTCTTACACGTTGCCGCGTAAACATAAAACCATGTCTGCATTTGTGATCGGAGAAATGACAAACAACAAGCGCTACTCTACAATGCTCAAAACACACGTTTGAATCATCAGTGGCAAATTCTTTAAATATAAAAAACGTACTTACACTCTGTGAGTCAGAACAGCCGGCATTGTAGTCTACTCT